TGAGCTGTCTCTGTTGAGAACTACAAGTCCTATGAGGCACCGAGGTGGTCGTAAAATACCCAGGAAACTCCCAGAGGCTTTCTTAAGACTTGAGGTGTCCTCGGCCTGATGAATGCTAGACACCCATCTGGAAAGTAGGGATTTGCTCACAGAGGAACTTTTAGGGTGTCACAGGTACAATGGACTATAATTCCCAGAAGCTCTGTCACCCTGAAGCTTCCATGGGGTGTAGTCCAATCACTTGTTTGCATCTCTGTATCTTCTTAGACTCTGTATTCAACGCTGCCTGCTCTCCTGGATAGTAACCCTTTCACAGCTGGGGCAGAGCTGCCAGGGCCTGGAGCAGAGCTGGGGGCCATGCCTCCAGGCTTGAGACCGACACTGGGCGTGTTCCAGGCGGCCCTGGAACTGACCAGCCAGTGTGAGCTGCACCCGGACCTCGTGTCTCAGACTTTCGGTTACTTGTTCTTCTTCTCCAATGCGTCCCTTCTCAATTCACTGATGGAACGAGGTGAGGGTTGGATTGGGGAAGAGACAGGGAGGAAAGCATGGGAACCTCTGAGACCCATGTCAATTCAGACAGCATGCCCCAGGATCAGGCCTCATGTTTAGGGACTCTGGATAGCAAGTTCCAGATCCCAAGTTGAAGGATAGGAAGGGTTTGGGAGGCAGGAGGGCCGAGTCCACACGCTCATTGCCCTTCATATCTTTCCCCCAACAGGTCAAGGCCGACCTTTCTATCAATGGTCCCGAGCTGTCCAAATCCGAACCAACTTGGACCTTGTCTTGGACTGGCTGCAGGGGGCCGGGCTGGGTGACATTGCCACTGAATTCTTCCGGAAACTCTCCATAGCTGTGAACCTGCTCTGCGTGCCCCGCACTTCCCTGCTCAAGGTGACTCCTGATCCCTGACCTCTGACTCCTCGACCCCACTCAGCTATCCTCTGTATTCAGCTCACCCTTGGATCTCCCCTTGGACTTCATGGTTTTTTTTTTTTTCAAGATTTTATTTATTTATTTGAGAGAGCGAGAATGAGAGAGAGAGAGAGCACATGAGAAGGGGGAGGGTCAGAGGGAGAAGCAGACTCCCTGCTGAGCAGGGAGCCCGATGTGGGACTCGATCCTGGGACTCCAGGATCATGACCTGAGCCGAAGGCAGTCGCTTAACCAACTGAGCCACCCAGGCGCCCTCCCCTTGGACTTCATGTTATCCCCGGTCCCAGTTCTGACACTGTGGGTGATGCATTGACAGTTAGAAGGAAGTCAGCCACAAGTGTCCAAAATGCATCTGAATCCCATGGGACTTATTAATAATAAGTTCCAAGGCCTCCACCCTCAGACATGCTGATTCAGAAAGTCTGCTATGAGACCAAGGAATGTGATAGTTAGAATATGCATTGAACATAAATGACATGCCCGATGCTGTCTAGCACTCTCACTGAATGTTGACTAAGCCTCATGAAATAGGTTATTAATTGACAATTCTTTTCAGACAAGGAGACTGAAAATCAGGTAGGATAAGTTACTTGATTTCATTTATTTATATTTATCAAACTTTTACAGAGTGTTTAATAACCACCAGGCAGTGTCCTAAGGCTTTACAATCTTGCCATATTGAATCCTCATAACTACCCTATTAGTTCTATTCCCGCCCACACCCAATTGACAGATGAAGAAAAGTGAGGCACAGGGGCACCTGGGTGGCTCAGTTGTTAAGCGTCTGCCTTCAGCTCAGGTCATGATCCTGGAGTCCTGGGATTGAGCCCCACATCGGGCTGCCTGCTCAGCGGGAAGCCTGCTTCTCCCTCTCCCTCTACCTGGGTTCCCTCTCTAGCTGTCTCTCTGTCAAATAAATAAATAAAATCTTAAAAAAATAAAAAGTGAGGCGCAGTGACTTGCCAGAAGGTAATGAGTGGTCAAGCTGGGATTTTTGAACCCAGGCATTCTGGGTCCAGAGTCTCTGGTTTTCATCCCACGGATGATTCAGATGTCATCTCAGTTAAGTGTAGAAATTTTCAGATACAAAAAATAGCCACAGTGCCGTAATGAAGCCCTAGGTACACATCATCAGCTTCAATAATAAACTAATGGCCAATTTTGTTTCTTTTCCACCCCCCCCACCAACTCCTACATCCTCATTTATGCTGAAGCAAATCACATTTTTAAAAAGATTTTATTTATTAGAGAGAGAGACAGCGAGAGGGAACACAAGCAGGGGGAGTGGGAGAGGGAGAAGAGGGAGAAGCAGACCCCCCTCCCCGAGCAGGGAGCCTAATGCGGGGCTCGATGCCAGGACCCTGGGATCAAGACCTGAGCCGAAGTCCGACCTGAGCCACCCAGGAGCCCCCAATTAACATTTTTGTAAAGCGCCCTTTCCCACCATCCCTTTGGTTGATAGCCTGGCCTCACAGTGTCCGGAATATATTGCACAGACACCACTGTCTACCCACTACATCCATGCCCTTTATGGAGGGCCTCCCGTTTTAGGATTTCTCAGCTGACCCATAATGACCATAGATTTCTCACCCGATCTTCCCACCAGGCTTCATGGAGCAGCCTACGAACTGACCACCCCACACTGACTCCTGCTCAGCTCCACCATCTGCTCAGCCACTACCAGCTGGGTCCTGGCCGTGGGACACCACCTGCCTGGGACCCCCCCCCTGCAGAGCGAGATGCTGTGGACACAGGTGAGGACAGATGGGGACAGAGGCACTGGGGCTGTCAGCTTTTTTTTTTTTTTTTTTGGTTCTCAGGACCGAGGATTCCACAGCCCCAGCGCCTTCCTCCTTCTGACCCAGGATTCTGGACCCTTAACCCTCTCCTCCCTCAAGACTTAAGTGATGAACCCCAACTGCCCCCTCCCCCAGGGTACAGGAGTTCAAGCCCCAGCTCCTTTTTCCCCCAGGGTTTCAGGCCCCCAACCTCTTCCCCGGACAACCTACCCTCCTCACCCAGGAGTTCGGGTTCCAGCCCCCTCCACTCTAAGGAATCCGTAAAACTAAGTTCCCAGACCTTCCTTCCTCACGGGTCCAAGAACCCAATGCCTCGCCCGTTTCCCAGGCAACGGTGGCCTGTCTTTGTCTGAAACTACAACTCCCATGATGCTTGGGGACTCCCGCGAGTCATTGTTTGAGTGGATCCTGCTCCAGGAATTGCTGGGGGTTGAAGTTTTTCCTTCCTTCGGGCGTGACAGAGCCTCTCCCCAACACTCCTGCCCCACGCCCATTTTCAGAGTTTGACTCCGTCTTCTTCGGTCTCCTAGGGGACATCTTCGAAAGCTTCTCTTCCCACCCTCCCCTCATCCTGCCCTTGGGCAGCTCGCGCCTGCGCCTCACGGGTCCTGTGACAGACGACGCCCTGCACCGTGAACTGCGCAGGCTTCGCCGCCTCCTCTGGGATCTTGAGCAGCAGGAACTGCCGGCCAATCACCGCCACGGACCTCCCGTGGCCTCGCCTCCTTGAAAACCAATAACAAACGAGCGCGCGAACCTTGAAAATTCGGCTTCTACTCTCCGGAGCCGGCTCGAGCTCAGAGCTCTCTGGGAGTTGTAGTTCCTTCCCCGCGTGGGATGCCGGGAGTTTGAGTTTTCGGGTAGTAGAGGATGGGACAGTGGGAAGATGGGCTTGGGGTGTGAGCGCAAGGAGCAATAAAGGTATCTGTGGTATTGGCAACGCCTCACTTGTTAAGACTCGGGAACTCTGGTGATGATGATGTTTTGCGGATTAGAGCACCAGGGTCCTCGACTAGAGCGTTGGGTTCTTGCCGAGTCCGAGGAGATATTTATAGCCTTGGCCTCAGCTTGCCCTGCGGCTTGTAATCCAAACCCGGAGCCCTGGGGCCTCCCACGCATTTCAGGACAGAGCTCTAAGCTTGCTCTGCCAAATATCCGGCCCTCAGTCCTGCCGGTGGGAACCAGACTTCTCTCCCTTCGACCCCAAAGGCCAGAGTCCAGCCCTCTTCTCCCTCAGACCCGGGAGTCCAGGTGCCCAGCCCCCTCCTCCCTCGGATCCAGGAGTTCGGGGCTCCAGTTTGAACTTCTCCACTCCCCTAAATCCGACTCCTGCTGCTGCGTCAGAGAAAAAATAAGCGACAGGTGCCACCTGCCCGCAGGGCCGGGTCGCGACCACCTGCTCCCGCCGCTCACCCGGCGCCCCTCTCCAGGCACCTGCTTCTGTCAGTCCGCCCGCCGCTGCCCCGCCCGACCCCGCAGCCCCAGGACGCGGAGGAGGAGCGACCCAGGGAACCCCGACGTTCGCCCCGCCCCAGTCCCTCCCAGCCCGTGCTCCCGCCCCTTCTTAGGGTCCCAGGCGGGGCTCCTGTCTCCCCCCTCCTCCCCCGCCCCATTCCACAGGCTCCTGGCACGCCCTAGAAAGGGGTGTCCTAGGCGGTCCCAGGCTGGTGGGGCGGAGCCTGCGGCCTCCAGCCTAGACCAGGGGACTCAACCCGCTCCAGAGTACTGCTGCGCCGAGCCCACCTGGTGAGAAGCCCCTGGGATGGGGGCGGGGGGAACCCACCTTAACTCTTCTGTCACCTCTCTGGTCCCAGTCCCTTCGTCACAGACCATGGTGGCTGACACCGACCCACTCCCCTCTCAAATGCAGGTGGAAGAGACCCTTCCCAATTCCCCAGGAACCTACCGTGTCCCTTTCCCCTCTTGATCAAGGGTGTTGGATTCTAGTCCCTTCAGAGTATTGAGCTCTATCCCTTCACCCTCTTTTCCTTCCTCTCCTTTCATAGGCCCAGTCTTTTCTCCCCCAGGCTCCAGGAATTGGGGCCCTCAACCCCCTTCTCCCTCAAATCCAGGGGTCTGAGCTCCCAGCCCCTCCTCCCCCAGGCTCCAGAAGTTCTGGCTCAAGGCCTCTCCTATCCCTAAGCCCCTGAGGCCCTTTCCCTGCTGCCTTCACAGGGAGGGACAGCCTCCTGACCTCCACTCTGACCCTCCTCCGGTCGGGGCACTGTCCTCCCCTCAGTCCAGGTCCCCATCACAGCCTTGGCAATGACTCTCGCAACTTCCTCTCAGCGCTCCCAAATCATTCGCTCCAAGTTCAGATCTGGTGAGAGTCTTCTCTCTATGCATGTAGGGAAGGGGTCTTCTGGGTTCTGGGTTTGAAATACTCTTAACTCAGGCAGTGTGTGTGGTGGGTGAGGTGGGAGGGGGGCCATGGGACCCACAAGGTAGGTGTTTTCTGTGCAAAAGGTCACTTGTGTATAAAGAAGGCCCCAGCAAAGGGGTTGAATTCTGGGGGCTCAATGAGGGTGCAAATGGCCAATGCAATGCTCCTGTAAACAGTGAGGAGTGGGTGGCCAGGGATGGGTGTGCAGAGGGTCAGGTACTGCAAAGGAGCAGGGGCTTAAATCGACATGTGTGCAAAGTGGAGGTGTGCACAGAGTGGGGACTTTGGAATGGGCGGTGTGGGAGTGTTGGTGAGGGGACAGTGCGCTATATCAAAACTTGAACGTGTCAAAGGTTGTATTTTAGGTCCCAATGCGGACCAAAAGCGTGCAAGTGAGTGTGGCACTGGATGTCAGTTCCTCAGTAGGCCAAGGGCATACGAGTGTGCAAATGAGTATGCTAGATGGGTGCAAAGACACCAGTCCCCAAAGAGCAATGAGTGTGCCAGAGAGTGCACGTGAAATGTGCAAAGAGAGATCCCTGCTCCAGAACTGGAAGCCAAATCCGGATTGTGCAAAGAAGTGTCAGTAAGGCTGGGTGGGTGCCAAGGATGAAGCATATCAAAGGGTCCGAGTGCACAAAAGTGGCACAGGTGCCAGACCAGAGCCCAGGAAAATGCATGTGCAGAGGGGGTGAGTGTGGGGAGGCCTGGGGGTACACTGAGGGGAGCGGGCTGGTGCAGACGGGAGCGCACGGACGAGAAGAGGTGAGGCACACATGGGTCAGTCTGCCAAGATGGCGATCGTGTCTTGGGTGGGGTAGGCACATGCTCATGAAGGGGGCAGGTGGAGCTGGGGGCAGGGCTGCCTCCTGCCTGCACACTGGCTGGCTCCTAGTCCCAGAACAGCTCTGGCAGGGAGCAGGGAGCAGGCGGGAGGCCCGGGAAAGGGAACAGGCTGCCAGCCCACCCGCCCGCATGGGGTGTGTAAGGGGGCTGGGCACGCGTGTCCTGCCAACTGCAGCTCGCACCGCCTGCCAGGCCAGGCTCCTGGACACTCCCTTCCCGCTTTTCTCCTCCCACCTCCCTCCTTCCTCCATAGTCCTCCAGCTTCGGATCCACAGACGGTATCAGGACCCAAGTAAGTGTGGGCCCTGAAAGGGAGGGGATGGAGGCCCGACAACCCTGGGATGCCCAGGAGGGCAGCTACCAGATCTCAGGCACTGGTTCCTGAGCCTTGGCCCCTATGCCAGGGATACCCTGAAGTCCTACCCTGTCCCGTCCTGAGGACCCCAGAGTACAGGTCCCTGGTTACCCCACCCCTCAAAGCTCTGCTTCCTGCCCTATGACTTTTCCCACTCCAAAGAAATGCATGAATCCAGATCCCATTTCTTTGGAGAAGACAGGCATCCCAGACTCCACACTTGGCATGCACATGAATCTCAGGATGTGGCTTTCAGCTTCTCTCTCTCCTTAAGAAGCACGAGTGCTGGCCCCACCCCTGTTCCAGCAAAACCCCCTAAATCTGTGATCCTCAGCCACCACACCCCTTGGTGACTGAGGACATGACTCCTGACTTTCTTGAGAATATAAAATTCTGGAACCTCTGCCCTGAGATCCAGGAGTCTGGCACCCACCTCCTAACACTGGGGTTTCCCTCCCTGGTCCTGCCCTCCCACACCGGGAGGTGGGGGGGGGGGGCGGCTGAGGCCTCCAGGGCCCTCCTTCCCACACAGTCTTGTTCCTCCCTGCCTGGCTTGCTGTCTACAGGCCTCTCAGGGTCCTTCACTGCCTCTCCAGTCTTGGATCCAGATCCGTGGGTCTCAGCCACAGACCCTGCTCTGGCTCCCAGAGCCTCGGCCCCAGTCTCGCCCTTGGGCCCCACCCCTTTCCTCTTCAGCCCTGGGGACCTGCTCCATGAATCAGAATACCACCCTTGGAGCTCTCTGAAGGTGAGTCTCCAACGAGTGAGGAGAAATACCCCGGAGAGTCTAGCATTGGTCGTCCTTGCTACTGCCCTTTTGGCTCCTTTCTGGTGGTGCCAAGCTGAGGCTCTGGGGCAGGACAGCGGTGACAGAGCCGAAACATATGACATCACACTTGCTTTTCCAGGACTCTCCCAAGATCTCCCAACATTGGAGAGAGCCCAAGCCCAAGGGGAACTTGACCTACCACCAGTACATGCCCCCAGGGTGGAGACAAGGGTCCAGGATAGACTCCCAGGCCAAAGGGTTGGCCTTGGGTCCCCCTGGACCACCTCTGTGGGAAGGGACAAACTCACAGCAGCCACCTCCCAGGTATGATCCCTGTTTTTGTTCTCTGGGGGGAAATTCAGCCCCCCCCCCCCGCCCACACATCCTCCTCTCTCAAACCCAGAGTCCAAGAGCAGGGGAGTCCAGAGTCCAGCCCCCAACCCCTTCCTCCCCCAGGACTCGAGAGTCCAAGTTCCCAGTCCCTCTTCCTTCAGTTCCCGGGAGTCCAGGCTTCAGACCCAAGAGACTGGGCCTCCGGTTCCTCCGCTCCCACGCACAGGAATTAGCCTCTTCCGAGACCCAGAATCCTGGGCCCTCTCTTTCCTCTTCACAAGCCCCTGCCTTTGAGGACCCCGGAATGCCCCGTCTCTCTCCACCCCCTCTAACCTCTGGTTCCCCCTCACGCCTTACCGCCAGGATGAAGCCCACTGCCCTCACTTCCTCCCCACCTGGAGTCCCCAGCCCCTCGCCCCCTCCACACAAGCTGGAACTTCAGACCCTTAAGCTGGAGGAGCTGACGGTGAGTGTGGGGAGTAACTTCCCAGGCTGGCCCTCCCCCTCGGTGGGTACCCATAGTTCTAACCCCGCAGCCTCTGCCCCGTCGGAGACCCAGGAGCCTGGGTCCCCAGTCCCTCTTCTCGCGGTTTCCCAAATGTCCAGCCCCAGCTCCCGCCTGCGCCCCGGAGCCCTCCCAGCAAGGCCTCTCCCCGCCCCCCCCACCCCAGGTCTCAGAGCTCCGGCAGCAGCTGCGCCTGCGGGGCCTCCCGGTGTCGGGGACTAAGTCGATGCTCCTGGAGCGCATGCGCGGCGGCGCCCTGCCCCGCGAGCGGCCGAAGCCGCGGCGCGACGACGGTCCGGCGGGTGCTCCCTGGCCGCGCCTCAGGCCCAAGGCTCTGGGAGCCGTCCGGCGGCTGGGCTCGGTGAGGGCGGGGCTACGCGCGTATGGACCAATGAGGAGAAGACAAAGCGGGACGGGGCGGGAAGTCGAATGAAGACTAGCCAATGAAGTATGGGGGGCGTGGTTAATAGCAAAGTGGGAGGCTCTTAAGGGAAGAGAAGCCAATGAAAGAATACGGGGCGATACCGAAGGGGGGTGGTCGATGAGCGAGCGAAGGGCCGGGGGGAGACCAGGGGGTGGAGCCACAGGTTGCGAGTGGGTGGGGTTGCTCCCGGCGGGCGTGGCTTATGGGAGCTCCGCGGTTACAGCTCAAGCCGAGCCCAAACTCTCACCCTCCGCCTCCGGCAAGTGCCTCGGACACCCCTGCTACTGCTGCGGTTCCGACCCCGGCTCCCGCTCCGGGTGCGGCTCCAGCACCGACTCCTTCCTCAGCAGCCCCCACAGCGGCCCTGACTGTGGAGGAGGAACTGCAGGAAGCCATCCGCAGGGCGCAGGTGAGAGGGAGCGGGCTAGGGGTCTCAGTCAGGATGGTGCGGGATCCCAGGTTCACGCCGCTTCTGCTTGTCCGCAGTTGCTTCCGAACCGGGGCATTGATGACATCCTGGAGGATCAGGTGGAGCCTGAGGGTAAGAGTCCAACTCCTAGATTTGGGGGAGTTGGAGACAGGTTCTGGAGTCCTAGTCCAAAGGAGGAAGGGTTTAGGATCTGGAGTCCTGGGTTCTAGGGAGGGGTGGGCTGGGGACTTGGATTTCTGGAAACGAGGAATAACGGAGTGGGGTCCGGATCTCTGCCTTCCTAAGCTCACACTCCATTCCCTCTCCTGCAGACCCGCTGCCCCTCATCCCCCTGGACTTCCCCGGCTCCTTCGACGTGCTGTCCCCCTCCCCGGACTCTGAAGGCCTCTCCTCTGTCTTCTCTTCCTCGCTACCGTCCCCCACAAACTCCCCGTCCCCCTCTCCCAGGGGCCCCACAGACTCCTTGGACTGGCTGGAGGCTCTGAGTGGAGGTCCCCTGCTAGGCTGTGGTCCCCCAGCCCCCAGCATCTTCTCTGCTGACTTATCTGACTCCAGTGGAACCCGGCTGTGGGACCTGCTGGAGGATCCATGGTGATGGATGCTGGGGTTTCCAGGGACGGAGAACTGGTGGGGATGGGAAGGTCACCGAGACAGACTCCCAAAGGAGGGGGTGGGACAACCGGCAGAGCCCCTCCCACCACAGACACGGAATCAGAGAGGACTCTCATCCCCACCAGGCCCCGAACTGCTGCGGACATGCCAACCGCCTGACTCCCGCCTGCCTGACCTCCATATGATCCCCTCCATGGTTGTGTGGTTGGGGGCGGGGAGGTGTCATTTGCTGCGGGCCAAGGGCAAACAAGCTGCTTGCTGCTTCCTTCAGAGACCTCATGGATGTCTTTGTTCCCACCTTCTCCCCTCCCATGCCACCAACTAGATGGGAGTCTGGAAGGTGGTCTGTGTTTTTTGGGTGCAGGAGAGGGGGCAGGGAAGAATCAAGAGGGAGAATAGGGAGCCAGACCCTTGGCTTCTGGTTGGAAGTGAGAATATCAGAAGCGTCATGTCTGAGGTCAGATTCTCTCGGAAGCAGAGCCTGAGACAAGATTCGTGTGCCCATGATTTATTAAAGAAATGCCCGGAGGAGAAACCAAAAAGGAGCGGAGGAAACCAGGCAGTGAAGGGGAAGAAGACTATTAAGAGTATGGCTTCAGGTGAAGTCCCAACCTCTGCGTGATCCCATCGGGAGCTCTGGAGGATAAATTAAATTGCAGGGTCTTTCTTACTCTGAGGCAAAAGGAGCTAGGCTTTTTGTGTGTGTGTGTGTGTGTGGCGGGGAGCTAGGCTTTTGAGGCAGAGGGAGATACCTATTTGGGTTTCTTATTGCTGAATAACAAGCCACCCCCAAACTTAGAGTCTTAAAATAATAACTATTTATGATCACTCACAACTTTTTTTTAAAGATTTTATTTATTTTTTAACAGAGAGACAGTGAGAGAGGGAGCAAAAGCAGGGAGAGTGGGAGAGGGAGAAGCAGGCCTCCCGCCGAGCAGGGAGCCTGACGTGGGACTCGATCCCAGGACCCTGGGATCACGACCTGAGCCAAAGGCAGACGCTTAATGACTGAGCCACCCAGGTGCCCTGATCACTCACAATTTCATGGGTTGACTGGCTTAGCAAGGCAATTCTTTGGCATCATATGACTAGGGCTGCAGTCATCATAGTGTCCAAGTGGGCTGGACTATCCAAGATGGCTCAGACATGTCTGGCGCCTTGGTAGGAATGGCTAGTATGCTGGAGCCAGCCGGGCTGTGGTCTCTCCGTCAGGGTATCTGGACTCCCTACATGGTAGCTCAGGGTCCTCCAAAGCAAGCATTACTGGAGCAGGAAGCAGAAGCTGCCAGTCTCATAAAGACCAAGCTTGGAACTGGCCCAGTGTCACCTTCACTACGCTCCATTGGTTAATGCAAGTCGGGCTGGCAGAAGATGGGGAGGGGGCTACAAAGATGTAGGAATCTTGGAGGCATGGTCATTGGGGACCATATGTGGAGACTCCACTACACCCCTCTCGTCAGTCATGAAGAGAGGGTGGGACATAGACTGCCAGGCACCTTGAACCCCAGGGCAGTCCTGGGAAGAAGGTCACAGAGGAAGCCCATTAGCAGCAAAACCTTGTAAAATGTAGGTTTTATTATTCAGGTGTGGGGAAGCCTATAGATCAGAATGACCGCAATTGAAAAGATCCTTTGTTGGGGCACCTGGGTGGCTCAGCTGGTTTGGTGGCTGACTCTTGATTCAGCTCAGGTCTCAATCTCAGGGTCGTGAGTTCAAGCTCCACATTGGGCTCCACGCTGGACATGGAGCCTACTTAAAAACAAACAAAAAAACCCCCCCAAAACCAAAAAAGATAGTTTGTTATTCTCACAGATCCCCAAAGAAGGGGGTGTGGCAAGCCATGCATGGCCACCTGGGGAAGTGCCAAGGTAGTCAGGAGTTGGGGGGGAGAGGGGAGCCCTGAGCAAGAGTCTTTGTTGTAGTTTCTCAGTGAGGGAACAGGGGAGGCAGGGTAAGTTGGCTTAAGATTGTCTAGTATGAATGATTTCAGCTGGCTCTGTAGGGACCATCCCTAGTTTTCTGGAACGTGGTCCTGCGGTGATGGGGCAGAGGAATCATGGCCTGGAGGAGTATAAAGCTCATAAAGGAAATGGTTGGGGGTCTGGGCTCTGGACTGGTTGGTTTGTATATGCAAAGCATGCTCCTGGGTGAGTCCTTTATTATCTCTGGGAATTGGCTAGCCCTGGGAGGGGCAGTCCCTCCAGATGTCAAAGCAGCAGAAATATGGGAAATAAAAAGCCATAATGAATGCAGAGAGCACACAGAAGATGGGGGGTGGCGGAGGCTGAGTGCACAGAGCCAGGAAGAGGGATCTAGATCTATCTGAGGGGACCTGGGTGGGCCATCCACGTATCCACTACAGGTGGAAAAGGACAGCAGATCAGTGACGTGCGACAGTACCCAGAGCAGTGTCTGGCTGTCCGTTTGCTCATGGGTCCAGTGAGGATGAGATGTTCACTGAGCCCTACAGCCCAGTGAGGATGAGATGTTCACTGAGACTTCCCATGAGCTGGACCTGATGTGGGAGACATGCTGACAAATAATCACCCTTATGAGCTGTGGATCCACGATTCTAGTTCCTCCATGGGCATTAGAGAGTCATGAGAGAACAGGTAAGGGAGGGAGAGATCTTTACCGTGAAGCAAAGGCAGTCTTTGGTGTCTTCTGACCAGTCAGGTGGGAGGTGTCAGATGGGCGCTTTAAATCAGGTTCATGAGTCCATAGCCTGTGCCCTCAAAGTTGAAAAAACAGAGCCTCAGTCTCTGCTCTGGTGAAGCTCAGACATTTGCACAGAGAGAGTTCCAGTGCAGGGTGATAAGAATTTTCACGGCAGAGGGGCCACGACTCCTAGAAAGTACCAGAAGCCATGGGGAATGGGTAGGGCAGTCAGAGGAACAGCCTGGGGAACCTTGTGAGGTCAGGGCTGCTGACAAAAGGTGGGTGGTGTGGCTGCCGCAGAATTTGGGGCTGGACGCGGGTGGTGGTTGGGGCCTGTGGGCACCTTTCTGTCAGGCTGAAAATTGGTGGTAAAGGGGCGCCATCAGCCCTGAAAGGATCAAGAAGGGGTGTGGTGGTGCTTCTGCCTGTCTCCATCTTGGCCCGACTCTGAGCTTGTGACCCTCTGTCCCCCTGTCTCCTGTCCAGGGGAGGGCAGCTCCAGAGGGAGTCAGGCCGAGGGGTGGCGGCTAAGGAATTTTTTTTTAAAGATTTTATTTATTTATTTGAGAGAGAGAGAGCAGAGAGGGAGAGGGAGAAGCAGACTCCCCACTGAGCAGGGATACTGATGTGGGGACTCGATCCCAGGATCCCGGGATCAGGACCTGAGCCAAAAGCAGACATTTAACTGAGCCACCCAGGTGCCCCTATCAATTTGTCTTATAGACATAATCTCCAGAAGGTTGCATTGAGTAGACTGGAGAATATACTCATTTTTCTTTCTCCTCCTCCCCTACCCCTCCCCGTTTCTCCGGCCCTCCCGGTCTCTTTCTTCCTCCCTTCTCTGTCTATGTCTACGTTACCACATACCCTGCTCAGTGGGGAGCCTGCTTCTCCCTCTCCCTCTGCTGCTCTCCCTGCTTGTGCTCTCTCTCTCAAATAAATAAAATCTAAAAAAAAAAAGGACACAGTCATACTGGATTAGGATCCACCCTAATGATCTTAACTACATTTTCAAAAACCCTACTTCCAAATAAGTTGCATTCACAGATCCTGGGGGTCAGGACTTCAGTGTAATCGCTGTTGGGAGATACAGTTCAGTTCATAACAGGTACCACTCTAAGCAGATGAACCAGCCTCAAGTTCTTTATGAAATATTACGGCCCTCTCCCAGTTCAGGCCCCTGCTGGCTTGTAATATAAAGCAATGTATGTTTAAGTTCATAAATATCTGAAGCATATGGACCAGATTAGCTTTACTCTGTCTGCAATTGATTAAAAAAAAATCTGGAGACTGGGGATGGTATGATGTCATAGAGGGTGCAAGATACAGAATAGAAGACAGATGATACTGCTGTGTTCGCGGGACCCCAAATAAAACTCTATACTAGGTTATGAAACAGGTGTCTTGTGAGGCTGCAGTTAAGAGCCAGGAATCAGTGTGGGCTCTCTAGGAAGATGTTCATTTTATTAATTGTTCTATGGTTACTGTTTTTTGGTGGGTTGTGTATTGGTTAAGAAACTAGGCACCTGCCTGGCTCAGCTGGTAGAGCGTGTGACTCTTGATTTGGTGGTTGTGAGTTTGAGCCCCACATTGGGTGTAGAGATTACTTTATTTTTTTAAAATATTTTATTTATCTATTTATTTGATAGAGAGAGAACAAGCAAGGCGAGTGGCAGGCAGAGGGAGAGAGAGAAGCAGGCTCTCCGCTGAGCAGGGAGTCTGATGCCAGGCTCGATCCCAGGGCCCTGGGATCATGACCTGAGCCGAAGGCAGACGCCCAACCAACTGAGCCACCCAGGAGCCCCTAGAGGTTACTTAAAAAAATAAAATAAAATGGAAATTCCCCTGAAGGGGAAATCATTAAAAAAAAAAAAAGAAAGAAACCTTTGCCCACCTCAAGGTCATGAAGCTTTTCTCCCATGTTTTATTCTAGAAGCTTTATGCTTTTAGCTTTCACATTTTGGTCTGTGATCCATCTTGAATTAATGTTTGTGAATCGTAGGAGGAAGGAGTCAAGTTCACCTTTTCCATGTGGATATTGGATTGCTTCCATTGATTGAAAAGCTCTTTTGTCCTTCACCTGAACTGTGTTGATGCCTTTGTCATAAATCAAGTGACTATATGTATGTGGTCTATTTCTGGACTCTTTGTTGGATTCCATTTGTCTATCTTTTATGACGGTACAACTTTGTCAAGGTAACTTTAGCTTTATGGTCAATATTGAAATCTGGTAATCTCTCCAGTCTCTTTACCTCACTTCTGCCATGACTTCTCTGGTCCACCATCATTGCTTGCTGATAGTGAAAATCAGTCAGATTCATTCTTCAAGGCATATCTTCAATATAGTCTTTACATCACAGCTTTCTTGGAGTTGTGATACAGAATTACACACACACACTTTTTTTTTTAAGTAGGCTTGAACTCATGACCCCAAGATCAAGAGTTGCATGCTCTACCAACTGAGCCAGTCAGGTGTCGCCCTAGTTTGTTTTGAAAGAGACTTTTGTACGTGTCTAGGCAAAGACAGTGGTGACTTGGATAGAGTGGTGATGGTAGAGGAAGGAAAGAAGGTCCAATTCAGGATATATTTTGAAGGTAAAGCCGACAGAACTTGCCGGTGGATGGAATGTGAAAGGAAGAATCTAGAGTAAGTTGAGTTTTTGGTTGAAGTGAATGCATAGTGCCATTTACTGAGATGGGGATGGGCAGGGGAAGATTTGGGTGGTTGGAATTGAGGGGAGATGTTGTCATGGCCATCTTTGGAAATGATCACCCACCATGATGTTATTTTAATTTAGCACCATGTAAAATGTGCCCCCCTGCAATACATTGAAAATGTACATCAAAAGAGAGAATGCCAAATTTATGTGCAAAATAATTAAGGATTTATTTATTTATTTTTAAATAGCAAAACACGGTCCAGCAACCATCACCCACTCCAGCTGTATAAAATCACACTGGGGGCACCTGGCTGGCTCAGTGGGTAGAGCGTGTGACTCTTGCTCTCAGGGTCGTGAGTTCAAGCACCATGGAGCCTACTTAAAAAATTAAAATAAAATAGGGGCGCCTGGGTGGCTCAGTTGGTTGAGCGACTGCCTTCAGCTCAGGTCATGATCCTGGAGTCCCGGGATCGAGCCCCGCATTGGGCTCCCTGCTGGGCGGGGAGCAGGGAGCCCAATGACCCTCTGACCCTCTCATGCTCTCTCTTTCTATCTCATTCTCTCTCTCAAATAAATAAATAAAATCTTAAAAAAAATAAAATAAATCTAAAGTCAGACTGGAAATTTGAATGAGTTAAATAGAGTTATTGAGGGAGAGACCTATTAGCATACTAAGTATTGTGGCGCCCATTCCATGGGCACTAAGCCAAAAGAAAGGGACTCCAAGAGAACCATCTGGAGAGACTGTGGGGGCCTGCAAGACGTGAGGTGGTCATTAGAGCACAAATATTCTGGGGTATGTGGATGGGTTGTTCTTGACATTGGGTGTGCCACTTGACTTGCTTCAGCCACTGAAACGTGAGTGGCAAACTTTTTTCCCCATATACTCAATTTTGGATTATCTTCCCAAGCCTTATGTTCTTTTTTAAATTTTTATTTATTTTAATTTTGTTTATTTTTATTTATTTTTAATTTTTTTAAAGATTTTTTAAAGATTTTATTTATTTATTTATTTGAGAGAGAGAGAATGAGAGATAGAAAGCACGAGAGGGAAGAGGGTCAAAGGGAGAAGCAGACTCCCTGCTGAGCAGGAAGCCCGATGTGGGACTCGATCCCGGGACTCCAGGATCATGACCTGAGCCGAAGGCAGTCGCTGAACCAGCTGAGCCACCCAGGCGCCCAATTTTGTTTATTTTTAAAAAGATTTAATTTATTATTTATTTGAGAGAGAGGGAGAGAGCATAGAGGGAGAAGGAGAAGCAGAATTCCTGCCAAGCAGAGAGCCCGACATGGGGCTTGATCCCAAGACCTTGAGATCACAACCTGAGACAAAGGCAGCCGCTTAACCAACTGAGACACCCAGGCGCCCCCCCATCCTTATATTCTTTTATTACCTTCTTTTTTTTTTTTAAGATTTTATTCATTTGACAGAGAGAGACACAGCGAGAGAGGGAACACAGCAGGGGGAGTGGGAGAGGGAGAAGCAGGCTTCCCACCGAGCAGGGAGCCTGATGCGGGGCTCGATCCCAGGACCCTGGGATCATGACCTGAGCTGAAGGCAGCCGCTCAACGACTGAGCCACCCAGGCACCCCTCTTTTATTACCTTCTTTTCAGACCAACTCCCTTACAAACATAGTGGCCATGTTTGTATTATGTGACCTCTCCGCATGGCCTCAGGTAATTGGCCCATGGTGAATGCTTGACTCAAACATCACTCTGATTGAGGCATCAAAATTGTCTCTTTCAAGATTGTGAAACTCTCTAGGAGTCTCTGTTGAGCACTTGAAATGAGACCCCAGCACCACAGTTTGCTAGGACTGTTCAGTAGCCTTTTCCCTGGTCTCTGCCCCTCTCTTACCCCTACAGCCCGTCCTCTGCGTAGCAGCCAGAGAAGTCCACACAGCAAATCAGATTGTGTTATTCCCCTAATTAAGACCCTCTGGTGGCTTCCCCTTGGTCTTAGAATAAAACCCAAAGTCCTTGCCATGGTCCGCAAGGCCTTTCACATCAACCCTGTTAACTTCTCTCCCACCTCTGTCTCCATGTGTTCCAGCCACACTGGCCTAGTTCCGCTCTCATGTATAACTAGAGTCCCCCTGCCACGGGGCCTTTGCACGTGTGATCTCAAGTGAGGTGGGGATGTTCAAGTTTTGCCTAGGTTGTGCCAAAGTCATGAAAGTGTCTGCAAATATAGAGAATCATTTATTTAGTTTGTTTATCTCTGGCTGTATCACAGATGACCCCAAAACTTCACAGCATCAAACAATCATATTGTTATGCTCACAGACTCTGTGAATCAGGAATGGAGATAGGGCTCCTCTCTGCAACATGTTGTCAGGAACCTCAGCTGGATGCTAGGCTGACTTAAACAACATGTGGAATCATATCTGATGCCTACGCTGAACGACTTGAAGTTGACCTCAGCTAAGGCTGCTGATTGTAGCACCTACCCGTGGCCCCGGAGTGGGGTTGGGCTTCCTCATAGCATGGGGGCTGCCTCCATGATGCTGATGACCGAGGGGATGCTGCACCTGAACTCCACAAAAACGCAGCTGCATGAGGCCTCAGCCAATGCTGCATGGAGCAGAGAGCCACCCAGCTGATGTACAGGATTGTGGGAAATAATAAATTGCTGTCATTTCAAGCCACTATGTTTTGTTAACCCAACCTTTGCTAGTGGAGATCCTGTCTGTTAGGTGCACCACCACAGACATTTACAAAGAACAAATGGACTCTCTTCAAGTTCACTGAGCTGTGCTGGTCTCTTGAGTTCTCACCAGTAATCATCCTAAGCCCTAGGAAGCCAGGGTTGCAGAATTGGGGTGGAAGGTCTTAGATGCACACCAGCTATTGGCCAATAGGGTGGTGCTCTTGTAAAAACTGGAGAAAAGGTCTCTGGTCTGGGCAGACTAATTAGAAAACAGTGAGCCCTCTGGGTGGACACAGTCCCAGGAACACATGGCTTGGAGAGTAGGTTGTTGACTCTCTTAGAGCCCCACCTGCCTCCTTGGCCAAATGCCTTTGTGTAGTGAACAACCCACACAATTCAGGGCTTCTCTGTTTTGTGTAGCACCTTCTTCCTTGTTAAGAGCACCCGTTTTCTTTCTGCAAGCCTCCACATCTTTCAGAGGAGGCTGATCAACTCCCCAGCTGGAAGCGGCAAAGATATATTGATCTGAAGCTAAGCCAATCCCAGGGTCTTATTCACCTTGCCCTCTAATGGGTCATGTGGGCATGTGACACACTTCCGGTCAATAAGATATGCGGGGGTGGGAGGGGTGGTGGCAGTGGCTGGAGGGCTTTGGAATCTTTCTCTCACTCTTCAAAAGGGACCCAAGAACGAAGCTCTTTTTTGCTGCCTCATGAAGAGGTTGTCTGCATGTGACACCCGGCTATGTGGCAGCCCTTCTGGGACCATGAGGGAGCCAGTCTGAGAGGAGTTGATGGCAGTTAAACAAGATAGATGGAACCGGGGTCACCGATGACATTGCTGGGCTGCTGACTTAACTAACCCCAGAGATGTACCAACCTCTCGTCCTGTTGTATGAGACACATAAATAGGTTATTTAAACAAGTCAGTGACTTCTGATGCAAGATGGAAGTGTCCTGGTACACATAACAATATGCTCCTCATGCCTTGGGAACTGGTCTTGGAGCCAGTGAAGGAGGAGGTGCCAAGGGCCGCCTAACATCAGTGCTTGAGTAGTGGGGAGAGGTCTGCGTTGATCCCAATCCATTTGGGCAGGAAGGCTGCCTCTGGCTTAAAGACTTTGAGGAAGGGGGAGTTGGGCAGGGTGTAATTGGCCAGGTAGATGGTCTCTCCCCCCGCGAGGTAGGCGGCCCAGATCCCGAACGTCCCAATGGTCATGATGGTGTGGTTACATTGCATGAGCAGTGCAAAGTCCTTGGAGGGGGAGTTCTCTATGCCATCGCCGGCGAACACCACGTCCCCCCGGGAGGCATTGATGTTCTTCCGACACCAGGCCATGCCGTTGCTGGAGACCACAAAGATGGGGGAGTCGTAGCGGGCCCGGAACCAGTCCAGGGCCTGCTCTAGGTAGCCCCGGTCGGCGACCACGCCCTTCCACACCTGCGGCATGACATTCACGTAGTCCCCCCGGCGCACGTGGACCCCCACGAAGGTGCTCGGCTGTCTCCCATTCACCCGCAGGCCCCGCAGAAACTTCTGGGCGTCCTCCCGCACGTGGTCGTGCAAGGTGAACTCCCGCAGGATCTCGTCTCGCAGGTGGTGGTAGAAGGTCCAGGAGCAGGGGTAGCCGGTGAGGCGCACGTACTCCCCCGGGATGTGGCGGTAGCGCTCCTCCATCCAGTCGTTCAGGTGGTAGTTCCGCCACGGGATCCTGCTGGCCGTGGTGTCGTGCAGGACCGGGAGGCTGATTCGGAAGATGGGGGCCAGCGTGCTGTGCATCGCGGCCGGGATGAAGGCCGGCCGCCCGTTCATCTTGGCCAGGGCGTACAGGGTGGCGTATTCCCCCATCTGGTTCCCCAGGCGGCCAATGGCATTGATTGTCCACATGCCCCTGGGCGGCTGGCTCGTGGGGTGTTCCGTCCTCGCCAAAACCAGCGTCTCAAAGTCCCATGGGGGGCGAATCTTCGCTAGCCGCTGATGAAAGTGAAATACGGTCGAGGCCGTGAAGACAAAGAGGATGAAGTGGGCCATGGGGAAGAAGAAAGGCACCTGACTGCTAAGCATGGCTGTCAGGGAAGGGAGAGCAGGGAATGTTAGCTCGGGGGCGGGGATGGAGGCCCTGGGGTGGCGTAGGAATGTGCAAGCGCAGTTGTGTGTGCAAACGTCGTGTGGGTGTATGTGCAGGTGGCTTTGCTGTGTCTGTGTCTCAAGGGGTGTGAATACTCAGGTCCGTGTATGGAGCCATGTCTCCAGAGTGTGTGATGGGAGTGTGTTTACACTGAGTTTCTTTATTCCTATTTACATGTGTAGATATGAGTACACTGTGTGTATTGACACATGGCATGTGCATTGTATGAGTGTGTGTGTGTGTGCATGCACATGGGTATCTGCACATTGTATATATATATGGGTGTGTGTGAATTTGTGTACATATAGTGGACATGTGCACATTGTATCGTATGAATGTATATATATCATGTACTTACATGGGTGTGTACTCTATATAATAGTGTGGATATATATACACAATACACATTATGTATATATACATTATATGTTTGAATAAGGGTGTTTATATCCTGAATATACATACATGGGTGTCTATGGATGGGGGTACAAGTGTATAAGCCTACTATTTACTGGGGATCCAGTTCCTGGAGATGTCCATCTTTGCATGCCCTACCTACCTATATTCTCTTTGACGGGAAATTTCCAAACCCATCCCAAATTCAACCACTTGGCTTGCCTATCCTCTCGGCCACAGCCAACTGAATGCGAGATAAACACCAGGTTCCACGGTGGCTTTGTCATTTATTGGTCATGACAGGTTGTAGGCTGGCTCTGAAAGATGAGTTGGCCAATTCTCTCGTGAATATTTTTACTAAAAGGTCAGAAGGCAATTGGCAGGTGAGAGTTTGTTTTCTTCTCCCCTGGGTGTTGGGCACCCAGTTGAATTCAACAGTTCAATTCAATTTTGACATTGTCTACCTGACTTAGTATCAGATCCAACAAGTTAAAGAGTTTAGTCCCATTTCATAGACCAACTGCAAGTCCTGAGCTATTCATACTTCTTCTGACTGGTTGGTTATAAATTGACCCCCTCCTTAGCTTTGATAATTTGCTAGAATGGCTCGCAATACTTAGGAAGGCACTTTACTTACATTTACCAGTTTATTATAAAGGAGACAAATGAATAACCAGAAGTACATAGGGTAAGATCCAGAAGGAACTTCTGTCCCCATGGACCACCTTCCTGGCTCATGGGTGTGTTTGCCAACTCAGAGGCTCTCTGAAACCCATTTAGGGGTAGGTAGAGGTAGACATGATTGATTAAATCATTGGTCACTGGTAATTAACTTAATCTTCAGTACTTCTCCCCTCCCTAAAGGTTGGGGGATGGAGATGAAAGTTCCAATCTCTTCATTAAGCTTTGTTTTTCTGGTGCCCAGATGCTGAAGCTATCTAGGGACATATGAAGAGTCACCTCATCAGAGCAAAAGACACTCCTATCACCCTATCACTCAGGAAATGCCAAGGATTTTAGGAGCCATGTGCCGGAGCTAGGGACAAAGACCAAATATCATTGTAGGAGACTACAGCAGGTGATGCTGAGAAAGGAGGTGTTGGAGTGGCTGGGACATGTCAGATGTAGGCTGAAGCAGAGGCAGCCAGTAACGGGGAGACACCTGAAGACCTGTGCAGAGACATAAAGAGAACTGACCAAGAAAACCCAGAGAAAATTCCCTTGCATTTGAACAAGTATATAATCTGTTCTTTTCTTTTCTTTTTTTTTTTTTTAAGATTTTATTTATTTATTCATGAGAGACACACACAGAGAGAGAGAGGCAGAGGGAGAAGCAGGCTCCCAAGGAGCAGGGAGCCTGATGCGGGACTCGATCCCAGGACTCTGGGATCACGACCCGAGCCAAAGGCAGACGCTCAACCATCTGAGCCACCCAGGCGCCCTAACCTGTTCTTTTCAACTCTTGTTACAACGGGAATTAGTTCTAGGAGTGAGGTGGTTGCACTGGACAGACCTTCTGAGAACACATGGGGTTTACTGTGGTATCATAGGGGCATTCCCCATCCCAGGCCATACAACTTGGGCCAGTGATTTACAGAGCAAAGCAGTTAATTAACCTCCTTCCTGGGACCTCCTGGAACAAAGTAAAGGCCCCAGAAGGATAGGGTTTGAAGATATGGTTGTTGAGCTCAAGCCAAACAGTTGACAGTGAAAGAAAGCAGGGAATGAATTGGTGCTGACTCCCCATTATGTGGCTAGAAGCTGGTAAAGGACGAGCAGAGCAAGCATTGTTTAGGATGATCACAGTTAACACTTTATTGTTGCTAAAGACTGCATCCAGGAATGATTGATGGGCTTTGTCATTCTGCAGTCTAGGCTGGAACAACACCTGCACTATGCTGCCACAGTAAAAGTCCAGGTTTGGCCACTGATCAACTTTGGAGTCGGAATAATGGGAATGGGGATATGTGGGAGGAGTCAAAAGAATGAGACCCTTCTGCTTCCCCAGCTCTTCCCAAGACTTTCCTCCTCCTTCCCTGTGCATGTGAGGTTCCCACCCATTCTTTTTAAAACTCTTCCTCATGAGCAGGCTTTAATCAAAGCATATCCTGGAGGCCCTGCACAAAGGTAGATTCGAGATGAAAGGTTTCTGGTTGACTTGGTCCATGGCTTGAGTTCCTGGTCAAAGTACTTAACCAAGTGGCCATTAAAAAGAGAACACTGGGGGGGCGCCTGGGGGGCTCAGTTGGTTAAGCGACTGCCTTCGGCTCAGGTCATGATCCTGGAGTCCCGGGATCGAGTCCCGCATCGGGCTCCCTGCTCAGCAGGGAGTCTGCTTCTCCCTCTGACCCTCCCCCCTCTCATGTGCTCTCTCTCTCAAATAAATAAATAAAATCTATAAAAAAAAAAAAAAAGAAGAGAACACTGGGGCTAAATCAAGCAAGGTATGACCTGGTTTAACCTGGAAAGCTGCCAGAAGCTATGCAGGTATCGTCCTTAATGATTATTATGGCTGATAAAAGTTGGCACAGGACCTAATATAGCAATATCCTTGTTTCTAAGTCACTGCCCTCCTCATAGCCTATTAAGATTGCATGCATTATCTTTGTTTCATTCAAGATTTTATTTATCTGAGAGACAGAGATAGCGTCAGAGAGCATGAGTGGGGAGGAGAGGGAGAAGCAGCTGAGCAGGGAGCCCGATGCAGGACTCCATCCCAGGACCCTGAGATTGTGACGTGAGCCCAAGGCAGGCACTTAACCGACTGAGCCACCCAGGCGCTCTGCATTATTTTTCTAGAAGAAACTCAGGTTTGTCCACTAGATGTCTGGATTTGAGGTAAACCAACTCAGGTGGAGGTCTGGGCCCCTTGGGTCATCACCAGATGTTGAGCCTAACCCAAAATGAACTCCTGTGTGGTACAATCTCCTCTTGCCCCATTCATCTTGAACGAAAGGAGCCAGAGAAGCTGGACTTGCTGAATAAAGTTCACTTCACAACTCAGCTGATGCTCAGGAGAGTCTCAGTCTTACTGGTCAAAAGTTCCAGATCAGGGGTGCCTGGGTGGCTCATTTGGTTAAGTGACTGCTTTTGGCTCAGGTCATGATCCTGGGATCCCAAGATCGAGTCCCACATCGGGCTCCCTGCTCAGCAGGGAGTCTGCTTCGCCCTCTGACCCTCCCCCCTCTCATGCTCTATCTCTCTCAAATAAATTAATAAAATCTTAAAAAAAAAAAGGCACTACATTTTTGCTCACCCAACCCATAGACCTTGTGTGTGATGTGTTGGATTGTGTCTTTCTGCCAAAGGTATACTGGAATCCTAACTCCTGTTACTGCAGAATATGACCTTGTTTGGAGACAGGGTCTTTACAGAAGTGACCGAGTTAAAACAAGGTCATCCTAAGGTGGACTCTAATCCAACAGGACTGGTGTCTTTATAAAAAAAAAAAACAAAACTAAAACACAGCCCATAGTGTATCGTATGATATTGGTCCAAGGCTGGCCTCTTTATTGCCAGCTCATGATGTGTGGGCATGGGTGGTGTGGCTCAAGAGACTCATTTGCATCAGGCAGATTCTCTCCCTGAATTTGAAGTCAGAAGCACAGAGAGGGTGGCCGGTTGGTGGTGCGGCTGGTGGCTAAAGGGCCTATTAGGGCCCACGTGCAGCCATGTTGAGCCGTATCAAAGATGGACCAGAGAAATCCATAAGCACAGTGAATTCGATCCTGAGAATAAAAAGGGAGAGGATCCTGAGGGAGAAATGGAAAGTATGACTGTGACCCCGATGGTTTCCTGGTTCCTGTTTCCTCAAGGTCACTTGTGCTTAAATTCGTGTCCAGGTCCCAATATGATGCCTCAAGACCCCGCCCTGACCCTGGGTAGAAGGAACTGTCTGGAGACTGGGAAGCAGGAGGAAGCTGGGGGAGGTGGGGCCACCCCAGGTAGGAGGAGGGAGAGCTCCCCGCGGAGTGGCCTCGTGCCTTCTTCCCACTTCTTCTGGGTGTTTTGCTCTTCCTTTCACCAACTAGATCATGAGGCTTCGAAAGGCAAGGAGTCGACTTGGCTCCTCTGTCTAGCTCCGAATTTGCCAAGCACAGTCCCAGTCTCCTGATCACACACACAGCTCCGTGAAGGAAGGGACAGCGTCGGTCTTATTCCCTCTGTATCCCCAGCAGCCCACAGCCAACGGGGCCCGACACATAGTAGGTGCTCAGGAAATGTATGCAGAAGGAATGTGGGTCTGTCTCCACCTGTCAAGACCCAGTCGGGCTCCATCTGTTGCTTTCCCTCCTTGCAGCAAGTGTCTGCCAACATCTCCCTGCCTTGAGTTCCTCTCTCTCTCTCTCTCTTTTGGGGAGGGGGGGTTGAATCCATTTCCCAGCACCAAGTAGGTAAAGAGATGAATACTGGAAGGACGACCTTCACAATCAAACCTCTTAATTTCTGGGCTGGCCCTGAATATCCCCTCAAAATATGTTTACAGCAGACAGAAAGACAAGAAGGCTAGTTTTGTTTGGGTAAAAAGGAAGACAGAATG